GGATTTAAAATAGCAACTTTTTTACAAAAAATAACTTTTTCAACTTAATTTTTGAAAATGTTCCGGAAATACTGCGTCCTTTAAACATATATAAAATAAAAGCTTATTTTATGTACTAAAAAATGAAAAAAAAAATTTGTCCCGACGACCTATCTTCTATACGCAAATAGCTACCATATTCAAAAATATGCTATTTTTGTATGAAAATTATAGGTTTTGTATTTTATTTTAATAGAAGTTGCTTTTGGAATAATCCACCAATTTTTAAAAATTAAACACTATCTACAGATTTGCATCGAAGCGTTTCTTATGATAGTGATTTTAATCACTGTCAGATTAAATCTATACTGAACCCAACTATGCAATGTCTCCACAGTGCCGCGACCCCACTGTGCTACCGTTTTTTTATTACAATTGGAATAAACTCTTATAAAACTCCATTACTGCATCCTTCGTTTATAGACATAATTTATTTTTTTATCAAGTGGTTCTAAAATTTTATTGAGCAATAATGTCTTTAAAGGTGTAAAACGTAAGAAATAATTTAAAAAATTTGCTTTCTACTGATTTTAATATTTTAATTTTGAAATTTATTTACATTTAAATAAACACAAATAGTTAATTACAAATAAAGTTTACATTTTATAATGCGAAATATTTAAAACGTACCCTCGACGATTGACATTTGGTTCTGAGGTTCAAGATAATGTAATATTGCAATTTCAACAATATATTTGGTATCAAAAATATTAATAAATTTTTTACGAAGGTATAGGCCATAATGTGTTACTATAACATAAATTTCCAAATAATTGAAAGTAAATTTTAAGAAATGTATAAATAACTAAAAACAACAAAGATTGCGTCTACAAAAATTCTCATATTTATGCGCCAAATTATAATTATATTATATTTACTCATTCTTTCAAATAATTAAAATATATTTATTTATTATTCCAGAATTAAACAATATCATAGATGCTGATATAATGTTCATTTATTTAATTTTTAATAAAAAATTAATATTAATTAATTAATTATTCAATGTTTGATGCTTAATTTTCTAATGTTTTTACATAGTTATAACTATTATCTTCATTGTAGACACAAGTTGGCCTACTATAAATATTTAGCATACCTAAATTATAGAACACGTTTTTAATGATTATTGTATTTATTATTTTAAAAATTATAAAATATCAATAATGAATAAATTTTATAATATAATATTATCTAATATTTTATTATTTATCATTGTCACTAAATTTTACTTTATAAATAAAATACTTCAACACTATTTTAGATGCTGAAAATCAAATTAAAAGAGTGCACGAAAAATCTATTCAAAATAATTTACATGATTATATAGGTGAGACAATTATTAACAATCTAAAAATCAAGTTTAAATAACTGAATTGCGCTAATAGAGGCAGTTTGAATTTTTTTATTTTAATATTAAAATAAATTTGCATATTCTCAAATTTTCAGAATCAATGAAAATTCAACAAGTTTTTTATATAAAATAGAGAATCGAACAATTCTAACTAACAGTACCTATTGATATTATTAATAATTTGGTTTAATTATTTTTTAATAATTATTCCATTCTCGAACTACTTTAAAATGAATATTTAAAATATGCCTGGGTATTAAAAATTAAAATTTAATAAAATGGAAGATCCAACAAAAAACCTATGTAAATAAATAATTGCATGTAATGTACTGAGACAAACATATAAAACCAAAATAATAATAGTATTATGACAAGTTATTAATTATTATTTCAATATAAATAATTAGGTGTTTTTCAATTTGTAGATGTTGAAGATTTTACAATGGTACTTGACGAAGGTTAGATTAAAGTACTTTTACACCAGTTAATATATTATAAGAAACTTTTTTCTTTCTTCAGTTATTAAATATCAAGACCAATACAAACGCCGTACTGAAATAATAAGGGACTATGCCATCGAATTGTTACAAAATGATTACGGTAAATAATTATTAATTCTTATTAATAAAGAATCAATGCATGAAAACCTATATTGTTTTTTAGATTACTAGCTATAGACGTATTAATTATTGAATTTTAATTTTTATGTGTGAGATCACAATTCACTCAAAATTAATAGCACAATTTCAATGGAAAACTAAATAAATTATAATATATCTATAACAATTTTACCACAGAACAAAATCAATTTTGGTTTTATCATAAACCTTATACTTAAATATAAGGTATAAGTAAGAGGTTTATTGATTTTAGTTTTGATTCCTGATAGTTCTCGCGAATGAAACTATTAACGTATTTTATTAACGTCTCTATAATTCATAATAATTTACTGCCATTTCAGGGTTAATTATAACATCAATGTCTAATACCTGTTCACGTCGGAAACGCGAAGTCTGTTGATAATATTTCTATAGATTATTAACATTGAATCCAATATTTTATAAATAAATGATAAGAAATAATTTCTAACCTCAACAAAAAATAGAGATAATTTTTTTCCTTTAATGCTAACAATTATATTTTAAATATCTTATTTTTAGGTTCATTGCATAGCTGTAAAACTAGTGTTTTTTTTTTGTCTCCAGTACACCATTACTCCCACTCTTATTATATCAAATTGGTCAACGATAAGTCAAAATATCACAAAACGTATCATGATACGTAATGATCAGTATCATCATTTTGAAAAATTTCTTTCACACCCGTAATAAAGGAACATGTCCCAAAAAATTACAAATGTTATAAAACAGTTAATGTTGATATTTTTTGTTTTTAATTTATATTTAAAATAACTTTTTAAAAACTGAGTGGATTATTGCACAAATTTTATTGATAATACTTATCTTAGCGACAACAAATTTAATTTGGAAATCCAATTTTAAGCAAAGTGCAGTGATGGGATGCTTAAAAATTATATAATATTTCTTTAAACAAAATAACCTGAGACCTCAATTATTAGGTGTTAGTGAACATTAAAATCATAAAATTTTCGGTAAAAATGTCCAATTTTGAAATGTTTTGCATGACAACTGAATATTTTATAAAAATAAATGCTCTTAAAAATCAGAAATCATGTACATTAATATGATAAATTTTAAATATAAAAAATTGTATTTAATTATAAATTATACCAAAATATACATTTAACAAATATTCATATTTTTTCACAAAAAAATATATTTCATGATAAATAAAGACGCTCTTTCTGAATTATTTTTTCTAATTCATAAATTTAAAATACTCAACCAAGCAAATCCTCTGAGGTATAAAACGTACAAATTTCCAATAATATAGCTCTATACTATAAAATGGCAAGTATATATACACTTACCTAGTTCACTCCTTTATTTTCACTAACAGGTAAATCATGAATTTTGACTATATTTTTGTCTAATGTCTATTTTTGAAAAACACATTGCTCAAAAATTAAAAAATGCAAAAATATAAACAAAAACCTTATTCATTCTTATTTTATTTTGATTTTAGCAAATAAAAAAATGTGCTCATACAAAGAAACGATAATGTGTAAATTAGTTGGATTAATAAACAATATAGACGTGTTAAAACACAGAGGTGAATGCAATTTAGATAATGAATGTGTTTTGGAGTATATGGATAATGATGGAAAATGGACAAATAAAAAATACAAGTTTTACAATAACCCTGATCCTTTTACAGCAACTATTTTTAGAGCAAAAGATACCGAAGATTATAAATTATTCGATTTGAATTCAATTTATAATATTGTATATGTAGAATAATTTTTCATTGCTGTTAATATTTGTGAATATTAAAATAATACTTTTCAATAAAAATGTAAAGTGTGTAATATTGTATACAATGAATAAAATAAATAGAATTATACTCCTTTCAATAATTTTATTATTTTACTTTAGAGGATAGTATATCTACGTTAGCGTGAATCAAAAAAAGTCTATCATCAAAATTTTAATAAGAACCAGTTTAACTTAATTATATACATTAAAATAAGCATTTTGTGAAGATTGTAGATTTTTAAAAAAAAATTTTCCAGTTCGGTCAACGTGTTTTTAGTATTTTGACTAAAAATTACCCATAAAATAAAAAATGTCTTCTGTTTTTTCAATATTTGGTCAAATATTTTTATTTTATTTTTTTAGGTGTTCGTGGCGTCTAGGACCATTCCATCATACATCCAGTTTTTCATCCATCTCGGTCTGCTGCTCACGCCTACCAATCACTTCCTCTTCCTAGTTCTTCCACGACCTTCTTCACTACATTCTCTTATCACATTCTCGGTCTTTCAATGAGCCTTTATCCTGTAAGATTCTTTTCTAGTACTGTATGGAATAATAGGTATTGGTTTCTCAAAGCGTATCCTACCCGTTGTAATCTCTTATTTCTTATTGTTTCAACGATGTTTGGTTTTTGGTACAGTAATTCTAATTTCTTATTTTTCCTTAGACTCCAGTTAGTAGTTACACTGTCCTTCACAATTCCAAAAATTCTTCTCAGAATTTTCCTTTCAAAGAATAAGGAGTCTGTTTTTATCGGTTTTCCGAATTGTCCAAGTCTCTGCTCCATATGTAACAATTGATCTTATCAAGGTAGTGCATAATTGCCTTAGACATTTCCGTATTTTTCCGATTTTACACTTCCTATTCTGACTTTAAAATACTTTCCATAATACTTTGTTCGATCAGATTTTTATCAGATTATGAGGAAGTAGAACTCTGCCAATTTATTAATTAGACCTTCTTGGTATATGCCTTTTGGAAATCAACGAATGAAACATGCATTTCTTTATTGAACACTCATGTTTTTTGTAAAAGTTATCTGACTATGAAAATTTGGTCAGTTGTCGATCTACCTGGTCTAAAACCACCTTGGTATTCTCCAATTTCCTATTTCCAGGTTCAAGATTATTTATTAGTAGAGAGGTTCAGTCATAAACAAAGGTTTTTTTAGAAAATCGGGTTTTTAGACTGATTCTCAACCCCCAACCTGGAGGGCCATACCAATCCAATCACTTAAGACTAAAGTGGAGCTATTACAGCACTCAATAAAGGGCACTGGACGATGAGGACGCCACTTTTCCAACACCGAAAAAAAATATTATGATTAGTATATCAAAATAGTTTGATTCTTACTGTAAAATATAATTTTTTTAGTTTCAACATTTTAAGTTAAAAATTGATAGCGTAGATTTCATAATTAGCTTCATTATATGGTATATTTCTAGTAAGACTCAGGTAAGCTTAAACATTTTTTAAATTTTGGCAATTATGTAGTTTGGCCGATATTTATCTATATTATAAGTGGAAAAAAAATAATTCACTATTCTTAAAAGCTTATACCTTTTATTAAAAATAAAGAGTAAGCTAAAATATATGATATTCTTAAACATATTTTTAAATAACGGAAAATATCAACGTGACAGGTTGAAAAAATGAATCAAGGCCGTTATTTGTCGGACGTTATAAAGAAATACCACAATCGCTATCCAGCCATTTATTTATTTCCTGAAATACTTTTTAAATTTTACATTATCTATTCATACAAATTATACATACTTGATAACTCATTCTATAAAATATTGTAACACTTAGTCGTAATTCCAATAGGTGATTTAATCATATAATAATTTTTATTTCGTTAAATTTATTTATTTTTTCTGCAGCATTTTATCATTTGTTTTTTTTCTGAGCACATCAAAATAATATTTATTTTTTTTATATTTTATATTTTCACAATTTCATGACTTTTAACAATTATTAACAGGTTTATAGGTATAATATTCATTGATTTTTAGGCGAAGTGATTAGATCCACAAATGTCAGTGGTAATTGCAATAAAGGAGAGTTATAAATTGGATTGTTGTTCCACATCATCCATATCTTTTTAGTCAAATCAAAAACACCTAGATCAAAACAAATATTCATTTTATAATTTTTTTCTATACATATAAATATATTATGTGTTTAGTAATTATTAAACTTGTATAAAAAAAATATAGCACTGTGGGGTTGAGATAACTTATTGACGTGGTCAAGTAGGAGCAAGTATAAATGATATCTTACAGTCATTAAAATCACTATCATAAGAAATGCTTCAATGCAAATCTGTAGATAGTGTGTAATTTTAAGAAATTGGTGGATTATTCAAAAGTCAAATTCTAACTCAAATAGAATTAAGGAAAAATTGCAACAAAATTATTGACACAGGCAACGTTCGTCGCATTCGTTTTTTAATAAAATTAGCAATTTAAGATAATTTAAAAGTTAAAATTAATTTTTTTGACTTAAAATAAAACAAAACTGAAATAACTTTAACTGTATATTCTATTTCAATTAGTTTTATATAATATTCATGAAAATCAGCGTATCTCATCATAAGGTATATTAAAATACAATACCAAGAATTTTAACGAAAAATTGCATATTTTTGAATATGATTACCATGGTCCCTATATCTTTATTTTTTCATAGTATAGTATATTACATAAGCTTTAATTTAATATTAAATAAAAGTGTCAATATTTCCTGAAAATTTTCAAAAATTGAGTTGAATAAATTTAACTTATGTATAATAATTATTATTTTGAATCCCCTCTGTGGTCAGGTCAAAAGTCAGGTTTTCAAAAATTCTATATCAAATAAAAGTGGTAAACAAAAGTACTTATGAAAAAATAATTGTACTGACTCATACATTTTTCGAAAAGTTATAGTAATTTAAAGTTGAAAAACTAATATATGAAATCGTAAATTTTAACACCAAATTTGCATGTTATTTATCAACTGCAACCATTTTCACATAACTGATAAGCCTTCGAGAAAATTTTTTTTTAACTTATAGTACATAACAATAACTTTATTTAGTATATGTTTGAAACTCGGATTATTTCCGGAACATTTTCAAAACTTAAGTTTATTTAAATTTAAATGTTTGTGTATAAGTTGCTATTTTGAATCCCATCCTGTGGGCAGATAAAGGGTCAGAATTTCAAAAAATTTATATCAAATGAAAGAAAAATATCTATAGTTACAATATAAGAAAGAATTTTTGTGATTTGTTCATTTTTCAATGACAATATTTAGTAAAAAATTGTCGAAATTTAACGATTTTTAATATCCTATATTTTTGGGGGATTTTCAATATTTAAGGGGAACGAGAACAAATCTTTCAATCTTTGAGTGTAATGTATTCAATTAGATACGATTAGTGATCTTTTGACATATCAATAAGAAAAATCGGTCCAGTGAGAGCTGAAAAAAGTAGTGCCATTTACAAAAAAAAAAACAACACATCATGGTAAAATTAATACCTTTCAGCTTCGCATCGAAGCTAAAATATGAATATTGTGTAATATTATTTTTTTCTTACCTAAGTGAATAGTACCACCAAATTCATTGGGAACATTACTAAACATTTCCTCACTTCCTAGAACTTGCAGTACGTCCTCAAAGCTTGACAAGGTTTTATTTTTAGTAATTTGTTTGTAAACATTTTCTCTTATGATACTATCTTCATAAGGAAGATTTTCTTGAATTTCTGAGTGTAATAAATGAAGTAACCTACAATTAAATACAATATAAATAACTATAATTTTAAAAACAATGAAGTTAATAATTATCTTTTATTATAAATCGTAGCTTAGAGTAATAACTCAATAAAGTCAAATTACCTTTTTTCTTGCTAATATTTTATAAATAATTTCTACTTTTTAAAAAATAGCAAATATAAAAAATTTATAAAATTTTTTTTTTTTTGCTGATATGGTAAGCATGCCTATTATTCTAATGAAAAATAATTTTGTAATTAATATCGACTATTTAGTTTACGACGTCAATATTAAGATTCCATAAACAATATAATTAAGTGATCAATGTATACTACTTCGCTGTGATATGATAAAAGTATTCAGCTACAAAAGTAAATAATTTTACTTTATAATTTATTTACTTTTTAACTCTATTTGTGTGTGCTACTACCAGTCTATAATATTCCAATTTTTTTGGTAACATGTTGCTATATAAATCATTTCTAAAAAAAATGATTTTTAGTTTCACTTGAATTTAACAATAGATTTTTACTATTGCAATCAAATTTTATAATGATACACTCTATTGAGTAGATTTTTTTGACAACATTTTTTTTAATGGTTTTTTTAGTTAAAGTAAATTATTAAAATTAATTAAGTTCTGAATATTTAAATTGTAGAATCTTTTTAAACACCGAAAGTTAATTAGATATGATGACTATGATTTCTGTTTAAGTGATCTATTACGATAAAAATGCAAAAAAAAATCGTGCTTTTCTGATAAATTTACTGAAAATAGTAATACTTGTCCCAACTATGCCACGTCCATACTGTGTTTTTTTTTTTTATTATTTTTCTAATATAATTTGATGTTAAATAAAGATATGTTAAATTTGAAAACTTTTAAAATTAAATTTAATGAGTATTTTTCTCGAAAAGACTGAACTTACCGGCGAAAAATTGTTTTTAACACTGTTGCTGTTTTTTAACAATAATACAATGGTGTCTTTAGATTTAATGTGTAACAATTATTTCATAATTTAGATGGTTTTTTTCTATTTCCAAACTGAGTGTTAATCGAAATTCGTAAAATATTTGTGACTTTTTTTTACTAGTTGAATAACTGAGTAACCTCAAGTGTCTTATGTCAAATTTAAATTAACTATTGTGTTGAGCGTCATAAAAAATGTTTAATTTGCAAAATCTGTGCTAAAAAAAATTCTTAAAAATAGAATTGCAATTATTCCTTATATTTTAAGGGTAAACGATTTACTTATATTTTTTTTCATGTTTTTTGTTATACAGTGGAGTTGAGCTACTTTGCACGATATTAAAGTCGTTTATAAATAATAAAATGTATTTCACAACAACGTGATTACTATAAAAACGGAGTTGGCTTATTTTACTTTTAAATATAACAATAATGTTAAAATACTGCAAAATACATAGATGCCCGAGTGAACAATATTATAACGTTAGTATGTGTACTTGGACGGCACGTGCGTCGGATGTAAGTCACAGGTGAACTGGTTTAAGCCGACGTGTCTCGTAGTATTCAAACCTTGACCTGTCCTATCTACCGACCGCCGGACAGGACAAACTTAGATATAACGTCGACACAGATGTGTGCGACAGTGGACATCTGATAATCACGACAGGATAACGTGCTAATTCACTGTAAATGAATAGTGCGCTATTACGGGCCGTGTCAACTTAAAATTAATTTCAGAAAATAGTAAAGAAAGTTTTATGAATTCTAGAAAAATAATAATGATATATTTAAATTCAATAGCACACCTGTTAGCATGGAAAGAATTGCTCCCAATAGGAAAATCAACAATGCTCAACTTTGATTGGGAATTATTATAATTTGGAGCAACTTCAATTGAGTGAAAAACTCGAGATTCCCTTGATAAATTTAGAAAGACCAAATTTACATTAAACCCATCTGCGGTACCTGCTCCTTCATTAGATAATATTTCAATAACTTCGGTCATGTTAGCCTTGGATGACAATAATGCTCTGGTAATAAACTCGCGTGCTAAAAAAACACATTTTTATGTTAATGATGTCATTTGTGTCTAGAAATAGATAAAAAAATCTAACGTATACGGCCCCTGACGTTTTTCGAGACAGATAACGTGTTGATTGAAAACACTAAACCATGATAATTATGCCCACTGGCTAGCCCAGGTAAGTGTCCTGCGTACGCTAGCGCTTCAAATTTTTCTTCTCTGGCTTTGAATACACCCCCAGATTCATTTTTACTAGGTATTATATGTGCAGCTATAATATAAAAGTTGTCTTCTGACGCAGAAAATGCATCTTCTGTATGACCTAAAAACTGATATCGCAATGATTAGGTAAGGCTTACAAAAATGGTTTATATAGAGAATGATGTGTAGTAACATGTTTACCTGACCGTTTAGTTGGTTTATCATAAGTGAACTACATCCCACAGGTCCTTTGTCTACATATTCCTTATTCAAGCTCATTGGTAACGTATCATCTAAAGCCACCAAGAAAAGCTAAAAAAAAAGTACATTTAAATAATTTTAATTTCTTCAATTATATTTTAAAGAATAATCAGTACCTGTTCGAAAGGAGCTTGTGATCCATCAGCTATGCCTCGTAACTCGACGATGTACTGTGGAAAGTATTTTTCTGTCGCGCTTAAGCTCTCTTCGTATATTTTACGACCTTCTGGTTCCTCGAACAATTTCAAATAATTTTGTAGTGGGCTATATTTTTGTAAATAATCATTTATCATACTCTTATATGTGCGACCCTAAAATATGTTGAGAAAATATTGTAAGTTACATTGTTTCAATTAACATTTTACTCTAAATCATCACAACCAGCAAACCTATACTTTTGGTTTATTGACTTGAATAATTTTAATATTATGACGAGACTAAATTATACTTTCACTGAAATTCTTTTTTAAGTATTTATTAGTTTTTCATTAGTTATACAGGGGGTGGACAAAATAATATGAACACCATGCAATATAGTTACATATTGTTGCAAGTTGGCTACACTGTATAATTTTTGGACAACACNTTGCAAGTTGGCTACACTGTATAATTTTTGGATAACATGGCGTAAAATTAGTATATTATTACAATATAGTAGTTATTTATAACATATTAGTGTATAACACAGGTTATACTACGAACGTTAAAATAAATTTAAAATAAAATGCGTGACCTCTTGGACTTCCAAAGAGGGCAAATAGTGGGTGCTCGATTAGCGGGAGTGTCTGTAACGGAGACATCTAAACTGTTGAACGTGTCAAGAGGGACAGTTTGGATCCACAGTAATGACAGCATACACGAAATACGGAAAAACATCATCGGCGAAAAGTAATAGTGGGCGAAATCCAAAGTTGACTGACAGGGACCTACGAACATTAAAACGGATTGTGACAAGACAACATAAAACTACTGCGGCTAAAGTTACAGCAGAACTTAACGCTCATTTGGGTAATACTGAATCTATTCCGCGAAGGATTGAAGCGGTTTTAAAAGCAAATGGAGGCCCAACATCTTATTAATAAATAAATATTGAGTATATGTCAGGTGTTCATATTATATTATCCACCCCCTGTATATTCTACTTACCACACTGAATCCAACTTCATAATGAGTTCCACTGACATAATGAACGGGTATTGATATACGTCTTGGAGTTTTCACAACTCTTTCACCTGTACATAAGAAGTATAGAAACTCAAAAAGTAGCTCTACAAAACTTTTAAAATTATTTTAAATCCATTCCTTATAACTAATTTTTAAAAAATAATTAATGGTTCCTTTTTTAATTTTAGAAAATGAATCCTTAAAATCATTTTTATATTAAACTATCTATTATTGAAAATAAAAACTTAATTTATGGGCTCATAAATGTTTTAATCAAATATTGCTGATAATGGAAAACATTAATTTATTGATTAAGTCACTGGTTCTTTATCCATAAATATAATTTAAAAATAATAATATAGTCAGTGACATAATTTTATAGGCTATAAATATTAAGCATAAAAAGATTAACAAAAAACTATTTGACCTCATTAAACAATATTCATACTTATTGTACTATTATGATATACTATTTTCAAATAAATTCTACATTAAGTTACAACAATCAAAAAAAGTACAAGCAGATGTCAAACAAACGTGCAATAGCATAACTATGGTTTCCTCCAAAGGGAGTATATTTAATTTTTCGCTACCCCTAACAAATGAAAAAAAAAATTGTATCTTCATATTTTTGTCTACACAGATTTTTGTCTACTTGCTTAAATCCAAGCAAGTAGATCATCAGTGCAAAAGTGAAAATCATAGATTTTGGACAGTGCATAAAGCTCAATATAACTCATCATCCCTTAATTGAAAATTAAAATATCATCACAGTTGGGCTTATTATAGTATAAATACTACAAAAATCTAAAATGGAATTATTTGCTATAAACATAAATATTTGGTTTATCCATTATGTTATAAATTAAATTGAAAAAAAAATTTAAAGTAAAGTACAGTATGTAGTTTCGACTGGTGTATAGGTTCGGTTGCTATGTAAAATATGATAATTTTACCAAAAAAATGGATGTTTTTCTTTTTTATCTTAAAGTACATTGTATTAACTCTAACACAATGTAGTTTTAAACAAATCATGTATTTTGGAACAATAATAAAAATTTTTAAAAAAATATTGATATAATTTCTTAACTCCCACTGTACCTTAATGAAGGACTATGAAAATGTTTAAAGTATTATTAATAAAAATTTCACAATGAACCTTCCTGTTTTCAAAAAATTATTTCAATATAAAGTGAAAATTAAAAATATCAATATTAACTATTTTATGATAATTATAATTTGCAGAACAATTTTCTTTATTATTAGGATTGAAGGGAATTTTTTAAGATTATGGCACTGATAGCTTCATCTAGATACGTTTAGACATATCCATGAGCAAAATTGGTTCATTAGGAACCAGAGTTTGGGCGTACCTATGCATTAAAACTAAAAATGTTATAATTGAAATCATGATAATACGAAAAAAATTATCACATATCTAACTACCTATTAATTAAAACTAATAATTTATCTTGAAACTACTTTGTGAATAGCTCTTGCAAAAAATTAATTTAATCACAATATGTTCAGAGTTGGAACTCTATTATTTTAATGGTGAAGTATTAAACACAAATTAGCTGATTTCTTTCAATAATTTTTAAGAACAACAAAAAAAAAGTTTTCCAACTAGTACATAAATTGCTGTCGGAAATTAAAATAGACAAAATTACTGAGGTAATTATTGTAATTATTAGGAGTAAGGGAAAGAGGTAAATCACCCTTATAATACTATAATATTAATTAAAAATTATACTTAAGTTAATGATGATTAATTTAAAATTTTTTTACTAGGTATTTTTCAAAAAACAAAAATATTTTGATAACATGAGTAAAGCATTAAAATTTAAATTAAGATAGGACTTTGAATGATGAAAAAATTTAAATCATTCATTCACTAATGATATTACTCTGATATTTAAGTCATAAATACCTTGTTCTTGTTGAAAATCTATCAAATCTGCGTTAGTATAATTATAAAATAATAAAAATTTTAACAATTTTAACAAAAATAGTTGATAATTCATTATTATTTTATATTGTGATAATTGATTTAATTTATAAAATATACTAAACAAACGTTGTATGGAAATGAATTCAATTTTTAACATAAATTAGATTGCAACTTGTATTTATTAACTTTCTTATTATCAAGGACGGTAAGAAAAATAATTATGAAATACATGTATTTTAGTTATTTTTGGAAGGAGAAAAGTGTATATATTGGCGTAGATAAGGGAGTTTAAGGGTTTCAGCCCTTTATTGAGAATAGCGATTTAACAATAAAAAGTCTTTATTATTTTATTAATTTTCATAAAAAGAAATTTCAAATGAAAATTTACAACTTTATAGAAACCGAAAAGAATAGTTTTATAGGACAATTTTATATAAATGCATCAGACTGACTATATAATACGGTAGGATGCAGCTTATTATGGTGTATATTAAATATAAATTATTATAAATTTTATAATACATAATCTGTTTTTTAAGTATAATTTTTTGTAAGAAAAGAAATAAAAATGATTATTTTGAAATATCGAAAAAATAAATACTTTTTTTTTAATGTTATACAAAAATTAAATAAAAAAATGTATACAAATTATAAAAGATATGCATTTAATGTAGTCCAAAACTAAAAAATATTTTTTAAAAAAGTAATGCAAAATATCATTTGAACAAATGTTATTAAAAATGTCAAAACTAGGTGGCGCGTTGTATATGTCATTATTCTTTAAATACTATAATTTCAAAAAATAACAGAATACTCTAACTTTTGATTATAATATATACTTTAATAGAAACTTATAAGTTTTGTATTATAAATTAATAAATTATAATACAAATTTATTAATAAATGCAAAAAAAATTATATCTATAAAAAATATTATGGTTACAAGAAATATAGCTCTAGTAATGTCAATCCATTAGATTTAAATTTCAAACGAATTTCCAAAAAACAATAAGACTTGTATACTCGAGTGAATAATTTTTTTGTTAGAATAGTTATATTTTGTGGTCCAAAACAAATATTTTTAGAGACTATAAAATATTACTAAATATAATAACATTAAAATAGTATAAAAGTTAATAGTAAAAAAATTGGTGAGCATTTTTATGTTCAAGGTGAGGTATATTTTGAGAATTACTGTAAATACATTATATTTATTTGTCAAATCCAATAAAAATTTCGGTGATGCTCTGGAAATTCTGTCCAAATCCAAAATTTGTAAAAATGAGTTTATGTTTATGTTCTATAGATAGAACATAATATAATATAAACATAGAATGACATAGATCGTTTTTTCTATAAATTTTATAAAATCATATAAATTGTTTACGTTATATGCGTCAATTTTGAAAACGAATTTTACCAAACACGATCAATACATCATGTTTTTGTAGATCATAGGTATGCATGATTAAAATTCATACATTATTAATATTTTTTCATAATTCTTAATTTAAGATTTATGATAAGATTACAGGCCTTGGTTTAATTTATTCAATATTTTTGCAACAGTAACCTAGTTAACTGATCATCATTTATTTTTTCATTCTTGGAATTCGATAGCTATTTAAGAGATCACAAAGGTTTGGTTGAACTCCAAGTATATCGAGATCATCGTTAAAAGTGTCACTATAAAAAAAAGTTGATTTCTTTTGATCATTTCCATCATCTATTGACGTTAACGTTGACGGCAACAATGGAGACGATTTCATAGTGAGTGTTGATGTAGTTGTTGATGTTGTTGCAGCAGTTGAGCTAAACGGCCATGGTATTTTTGATCTGCTAGTGGAGACACTATTTATGTGCGTAGAAACTGTAGTTAATGTTGTAATCCACATCTGATGTGGCAATGATTCATTCATAGATCCATTAAATTTTTCCATGAATATGTCGAATACGCGTGAAACGATGGCTGACACTTTAGCGTCATCATTGTCATTAGTTGTCATGATCGTACCGTTGTTGATCATCAACATGTATTGAATATTTGGAGTTTTAGTCGACATCAATAATTGCCGTTCGATTAAAACCTTAGCTATTTTGTTGGCGCAGTCTAGAGCATCTTTTTTATTACATTCGTCCAAAGTATCTTTAATCAAATTCACCAACTGATCTGTTGATGACATAGTGACATTTGATTTAAAATCATTACTATTAGTTGTCCACATCGACATTTCAGTCGTAGATAAATTTGAAAATGCTCGGTCCATGCCATCTTTCAACAAGACACTATTGTCAGTTGTGTTACAGTGCTCTCCTGGAATTGGGTCAAATCCAAACAACCTACCTGAGTTGGCTAATGTAAAAATAACTAACATAAGCGACGATACCATTGATAATGGGAACACATTAAATAGTAAATTATATATTAAAATTTAAAATATGATTACTTTTTAAGCATTATACATTTTATATATCTTGTATCATTGTTATAGTGATTGCAATAAACGTTTATAATTGGCTGATGTATTTAAGTTTGATTTTTCAATCTATTACAAAATAAAATAATTTATTTTGAATTCTTAAATTAAAAAATACATAATTCTGCATTTTAAAAAATAATTCTTTATTTTTCTTCAAAACATTGAATAAAAATGAAGTTCAATCCGAACATTCTCTTAAATACAGTGATAGGTTTTTAAAATTTTTCTGAAGGTATTGAAATTAATTATATATTTGAAATGCATTTTAAAGCCTCTATACCCTGATATTATATATACATAATATATAAATACAGTATTTTAACCCCTACTAGACTTATCTTGGACTTGAAAATGGCAGGTACCAAATCAATTTATTGGTTAAAGACCAAAAAAAAATGTTTTCTTTATACAAATTATCGTTTTGTATAGCCCTTTAAGGAAAAAAAATCTAAGTTGTAAATGTTAAACAGTACTAAAATTATATTTAAATATAAACAATAATTTAGCATAGTGTTAAGATTTTTTTTAATTTAAAAAAAAGTCCAAAGTAATCTAACAAAGACAAACAGCTACCTAATTGCTTTAATGACCAGCGGGGTCACATATTATACAGGTCTATACAGAGTGTTCAGTAAGTTTTGTTACAAACAATGAGAACAATAGAAACCCGTTTCCTGACTTACTGAACACTCTGTATAGCATTATTCTCTCACTAATTCAAGTGTAATTGGTATAAAACGAATCTTAAGAATTATATTTTTACAAAATTTTGGAAAAATTTAGCATTATAATAATAATTTCAGTGAAATTGATAAAAATTTGTATGAAAATAATTAGCAGTTATTTTATTGGTCCTAACATTTTATAACTTGTGTTTTCACAAATCTAACCTGATTTCACCGATATCGTTATTTAATGGTCGAGATATGAAGGTAGTCTGATTTCGGTGCTACGTACTAATTAAACCAGCGTGCCGATTCAAATTAGGGATCTCTCCCTTAAAAATATTTGTGTTAATGTTGTGCAAATTTTTGAAAGAGAGTGACTAATTTTTATCTGTATTTTTAATAATTGCTATTATTTTTATTATTATCATAAAATTTTGAAGTATATCTAATAAATATAGTTTAAAAAAACTAAAAAAACACGCTTTTAAAGCACATCGAACTAAAAAGTTAAAAATAATTTTTAAAATAAGTTTAAAATAATTATGAACAAAAAATACTAGTATAATTGTGATAAAAGCATCGGGCGCTCAATATACGAAAAATATGGCACAAAGCACCCACGCTTTTTTTCACAATAATACTAGTATTTTTCGTTCATTATCGTTTTAAGCTTATTTTTAACTTTTTAGTTCGATATGCTTTAAAAGCGTGTTTTTCAGTTTTTTTAAACTATATTTATTTTTCACTTTTTAGTTTTTTATGACATCACTGTTACAGTCACGGAGTGTTTAAAGTCAATTATCACTAGCAATGGATATAATTTCTACATTGCCAGTTAGTGTGTTTATAATCTCACAACAATGTGTCTTGTTACCATTGATAATAAAGGCTATATGCTTGCTAATATCGTCATAAAAAACCAATTAGCTACCTGAATTTGTAATCCCTTATGTATTATACAATGTAACATGTATATTAACTCAAAAAAAATTGAATGTTTTTTAACCCCACTACCTAATTCTATCACACCCTCTAAAAATTGTGAAAGTTACAATTAAATTTATATAGAAATTATTCTAAAATAAGGATACATTATGTTAAATTCCACATCATTTTGTTTAATTTAGTTTGTCCTAAATCATACAAAAGACAACAATTTTATTGTAATTACAGTATATATTACCTATAAATTGTAAAGATAAAATAAACAAATATTTAATATTTTTCATGAACTATAAATATATAAAGCATTGTTTAGATTTAAAAAATCAATCAATGTATAAACTGTGTTTTATTAAAATATAAATAAATAAGTCATAAGTAAAAAACTATTAATATATTAAGCACAACTATTACTAATATTAACCTGATTAGTCAAATAATCAATAAAAAGTAATAACTGGTTTTTAAATTTACATACTTTTACCTATATTATAAAAAAAAAGTAAATATATATAATTTATTTTTTCATAATAAAAAAAATGCAACAATGGAATTTCTATTTCACTTTTTACAGGGAAAACTGTATAAATTAATAGTCATTAAAAAATATAATTAGAGCAGATAATACAATCTATAAGATGTTTGTTTTTAATATTTTAAAGTCTTATATCAGTATAATATGTAATTTAGTTAATTTGAAGAATTAAATACAGAAATCGTTGACTAATTTTCAACTTTATATCAAGAATAACTAGTTAAACATTGATTTATGTCAGAGTTCAAAATTTTTTGAACTAAATTATTATAACCCCAAAAAATATAAATATAAATTCACAAAGAGTTATGAAGGTTATAAATACACAAAATTCGTACTGGTATTCTATAAATGAGGTAAACGTATAATAATAAAATAAAGGAAATTAATTATAAAAATAGTTATCATAGTTAAAAATACATAATGAGATATAATTAACTTGAATATGAAATCATTTCATCATCAAAACTCAATTGCTCACCATAAACTAACATGTCATTAATCAATTTGTTTACAGCATCATAATTTTTTTCCTTATCTCCTTGTTTTTTTTTAGATAATTTATATCGTTTCATTTCTTTTAATTCTTCTTTTTCTGTTATTTCAGGTCTTTTAACTCGTCGTAATGCTTTAGCTTCTGCTGATTTACTAAGGGGTGTAGGTGGTTCACTTATAACTATAGATTTACCAGAAGTTCCCATCCATTGTTGATTAAACAAAGGTGGTGTTTCACTTCTGGACTTGTCTGTCCGTGAAATCATGCTTAACTTTCCAGGTGATTGCATTACATTAAAATCACTAATATCACCATAGTCATCTGCTTCAAAATTGTCAAATAAGCCTTGTCCTGATGCACTCTTGGTAGGTGTTTCTTCTGAAAAACCCTTTTTTTTTTCTTTTGTACAAATATTTTTTGGTATTTCATCAAGCACTTTTGAATATATTCGCTTCGAATCTTCTTTAGGTTTCCGTTTAGTTATTTTTGATTTCCCACCATCACTTAGAATAATTTTAGATTTACTATCTATGATATTTTCATTTTTTGATTTTGACCTTTTCTTCAGTATTGAATTTTGAGTTTTTATTTGTTTTGAATGTTCTAATGTGCTAGCTGTTGAATTTATAACAGAAGTCTTATGTTTTGCTTTTGATGAATTAATTTTGTCTGTTACATCATGTACACCAGAATTTTCTATCAAACTACTTTTTGATTGTTTACTACAAGAAATGCTATTTATGTTTGTGGAATTTACAGAGCCATTTCTAGAACTTTTTGTATGATTGGCAGATTTTTCAGATGAGGCCGACTTAGAACCATTAGCGTTATTATTAGTCATAGGTGTTGGTGGTCTTAAAAACTGAATGTTCTAAAAAAAATATATATATATGAATGTTAAGTATAAAGTAGATATCAATTTTTTAATTTTTATAACTTTTTAAGATATTTAAAAAAATTTAAAAAAGTTTAACTTTTACTATAAAGAAATCAAATTTTCTGGAATAATTTAGGGTATATTAGACTAATGACAAAAAGATTTTCCTTAACTGACAGTATAATAATTTGATTCTAGTTTAACAATAAAAATGTTCATCAATAAATTTAATTATTATTTTAATTATAATGTATATGTTAACACAGAAAATTTCTGAATTAAACTATTTAATAAGTTTTTAAAAATAACTTTTATTTTTAAAATTAAATAAAATGACATTCTTCTGTCAATATTTGCCAAAATATTACTTTAGCTTTCTAAAAAATTAAAAAAAATTAAAAAAAAAAAAACTATTTTTAAATATTCTTACTTCATCTTTAGTATACGATTGTCTTTTCTTTACCACAATGGAATCATTTGCTGTATTCAAAGTTTTACAATTTTTATGTTTAGACATTTCATGATTTACATTGAGCTTACGACATAATTTACTTTTTAAAATTTCACTTGGAGTTGCGCATTGTGGATGTAATCTTGGCCTTTTTGGTGTCGAAGCTAACAAGGGTGCTTGATATTTGCGATGTTTACTTTTATTATTCTCAGCAGCAGTATCACATTCAGGAAATTTTCTTTTGTTACTAATATCTTTGTTGACTACAACTTTACTTGTGCCATAAGATGTACCTTTCCTTGTCATACTGACATCTAAATTAAGAGCAGGTTTAGATAATTTCATTGGTCCCGCTGGAGATTCTAATGAAAAGTTTAAAGGTGGTTTTTTTAATTCTCTTTTCACATTTTCATGTGTGCATAAAAGTATCCTCCATCTTAATGGAATACCACCAGTTTCAAGGCAAATAGTAAAAACATTTTTTGGATAACCACTAATTATATTTCCAAGGAGACGATACAGTCCATTTTTAGTTTTTATTAGATTTTTTTCTTTTCTACACTCTAAGATACCTGCATCATGATTTTTTTCTAAAACTGTAACTTTATCTTGAGCCAAGAGAGTACCTAAAATTATTTAAAGATATTAAAAATTAATAGCTAATATATTTATACTGCAACAATACACATCTCAAATTTGACAAAATAAGATTTTTATCAATAATAATAAAAGAAGTATTTCTGAAAAATTTTTTTTCTACAAAAATGTTTGTGAGACTTATAATTATAGTTTTAGACTTATAGTTTTAATGATATTTATGAGAATAAAAATATTTCTTATATTAAAACAAACATATCATTCAAACTTATTTTTTGATTATTCTGAAAACCTAGAAGTTTGAGATACACCACACTGTTGCAGTATAAACAGCAAAATATGTTAATAAAATAGATGATTGACCATCTATTTTATTTATTATATTATATTACTCCATTTTATCTATTTTTAATAAATAAAATAATTTACCAGATAATACAATTGCAACTTTAGTTTTTTTTTGCGATTTCATTTCTTTTACATTAATAGACCACTTAGACAAATATTTTTCAAGAGTTTCAGAGATGTTATTAAGTTGACTTTGGGGAACAATATCTAATCGACTTGAATGATCCTTTTTACTTAATGTAGTACTTTTATTTGGTAGTCCAACAACGATTTTGAATCCAACATTCTCTAAATCAGATTCAAGCAACTTGCATCGATTTGAGTTATTTACATTACTATTTTCTGTAAATGAACCATTCTCAATTATTGTCATATCAGAGTATTTGTTAATAGCAGTATCCTGATGTTTTTCTGGTACATGATCTTCATGGCTTTCAAAATCATCACAAGTTCTTTTAGTTACATTATTAGCTTGTTGTCCCATTTCAATAATTGTAGTACATGATTTGGGAGAACAACTATGTTCATGGTTAATCATATCATCATCATTGTGAGATAATAACTTGGGTTGTAACATAGAAACACTTGATGGAGGTTTAAATGGATTTAAAGGTTGAATGCGTTGTTGGTAATTTGTTTCGGATATCTGATAAGAACTCTGATTTGAAGGGAACATTGACATTGTAGATGGAGGTCTACAATTAAAACTCATTGAAGGTCTGTTATACATTGGAGCAATATGTGAAATATTTGTTAGACGGGAAGCATTAGCACCATTACGATGTCCTTCTTCTATCATACCTTTTACCCGGTTGAGAAAATTTGAAAATTCAAATTCAAATTTACGATATGGCTGTACTTGTAAAAATTCAGCCATTGTATTTCGTAAAATTGTAGTTTTATCCTCCATTATATCATTGAAAAGCAGTGCCTCTGGTGCTTGGGTAGATTGAGGCATTCTTATTGGAGCTAATGGTGCCTTAAAAGTAGAAGTTGTTGAATCAAAATTGTTGCGTGACATTATAATAGAAAACTAATAAACTTAATTAAAAAATATAGTTGAATTTAAAAATAAAAACTAGATGGTATTTAACAAACATTATTTTAACCCTCTATCAAGTAAATAAAAAAACGTTATAGTGACCGGACGTAACAAAATCTTTAACAGTGTTACCACAGATAATATTAAACCAGACAGTACATTTCGGAATTTACTGATAACACGAACCTGTCATAATGCAGTGTCACCACACATAAAGAAATTTAATTATTGTACTATAATTATAATTTAACTATAATTTAATTATATCAAATAATTGATTATACATATTACATGAGAGTCAATACATATTAATAGAATTTAAAAAAAAAACTAAAATTTGTGATCTTTAATCTACCTAAATCTTAACTCTATTGCAGATTAAATAATTCCATTTTATTCAATGTGTTACTGAATGCTTAATATATTTATAAATTTTATACATCAATAAGAAATATCTTCTGAACACATTTTTAAAAATATTTTACTGTGCTCTTTTATTAATGAAATTTTTTTAAATGAAAAATGAACAATAATTAAATAAATTTCAAAAATAACATGCCTATCCGTATTTCAATATCACAAAGATGAAACTGAACTGGAAAGTGTTAATAAATTTGGCGCGCTTACAACGGCGTCATAACAAACAATAAAAGTCAAAGATGCATAGTTGAAAAACAATAATTTCTTATTTTTCAACAATTGTGTTAAATGTTATCCTATTATAATTTTAATATGGATAAATCAACTCTGTATAATTTCTATCATTTACATTTAGCATCATACAAAGTAAATATAAGATTATTTTAATTAGTAAAATTATTTTTATTGTTTTTTCTTTTGTTTTAATATATAATTGAGTAGTATTTAAACTATAGTTATTTTCTCCATTTTATTTTAAGCATTTTAAAATTGAAAAAGTAATGGTGTTCTTTAGAAGAGTTCACACTGAAAATACATGTTTTTTTCAAAATTTATTAAATTTATTCTAAACAATTTTAATAATTTTTAATTAAAAATACGATAATTTACTGAGACATTTTATAAAAACAACTAAATCTCAAAACTAAATTATCTCATAAAAAAAAATGTAAATGAGCAGTAATATTCAATATAAAATATTATTATTATACTTTAGTATATATTAAAGTCGCTTAAAATCAAATTTTTGAAGTCTATCGTGTTTTTTTTATATAATGATCTTAAAAACTAGTTGTGATTGAAAAAATCTGAGGCCGGATTCTGAATCACTGTCGAAATTCCCTTATACTTTTTAATCTAAATATTGTAAAAAGAATATATTTCGTTATTTATTGTCTGTTTATATATTATATGAATACAATGCATAATATGTATCAATTTTCAATTGCATGTAAACTTTTCAATTTCTTTAAAAAAAATTAAGTATAATCTTGGTGTTAATAAATCATTTAAGCAAAGTTACTGTAATTAATAATATCAAATGGAACAAAAAATAATATTTTGCTTTAATACTATGATGATATTTTTGATTCATGTACCTAATTTGAATGTATACATTTTACATGAACAAAGCATATTTAAAGAATTTCTATTAGGTGGTACTATTACTAATATTTAAAGCCTAATCAGTGTCTTGATTGGCGGGAAAGTAGACTAAGTAATTCTTTTGAAATCTTGAAGTTTTGAGGCTTTAAGGCTTTTTATGATTTTTGAAGCTTATTTTTTCTTTTACAATATTATTAGTGTGTGAAAATGAATTGGTATTAAAATAATAATGACAAAAGCTTGTTTTTAAATCATTAAATCGAATAGAATAGAAATAAACTAGCTATATAATATACAAAATCATTTTTATTTAACTAATAAACAAGGCACATTCATTGGGTTTAATAACTTTAAAATAAGTATTTATTGAATCAAAAGCATTTTAATTCATAGAGTGTATATATTATGCGGGTGGAGTATTCTTTATTTATATATATATCCCTTTCTCCGGCTTCGTACTAGCCATCCGTCCCGGAGTATGAATGGTTTGGAAATTTTTTTTGGGGAGGCCGCTATGGTCTTTAAAAGCGTTAAATATATATATATATTATAGCATAATTGGGTTTTCATCATGGGAGTAATATACATAAGAGTTTTCACTTCTCCTTCCACAAAAAAAAATTGTCTTTGCCACCATATAATTATTTTTGTCATGGAGGACTTAAAACCCATGTCCCCTCTCATAATTACGCTAGTGTACATATACACCAGTACGAGCTGTGCTCACTCGCCCGCCATAAACAAAAAAGTAATACAAATTTTTTTTAATTTTATTATCAAAAATAAATAATAAAAAATGTACTTTTAACGACGTCTATGATTGCAAAAATTGTTTTAAAAAAATTACAGCGAAATTTTAATTGTGTCAAAAGTTATAAGAATTGTTAGTTGACTCTGTATTATTAAAGCTGAGGTTCTATATTGTAATAATTCCTTTAATGAAATCCTATTTCTATGAACAGTTTATTATTTTTATTTTTTCAGAAAATTTAACAAATTAGAGACATGTTGTATCATTCCAATAAAACTTAATGTATTAATTTATTGGAATGCAAAAATAATTAATAATTTTTATCATGCTCTGGATGTTAAGTTAAATTTGTTCCACTATGTATTTTTTTAAATTTCTCATGTATACAAATGTTAGTAAAAAATATAATTTATCTTATCTACATCGATAACAGAACTAAAAATAGTTAATAAAAATATTTTTATACTAAGTACTCTATAAAACAAATTGTAAAAAATGTAGATTGCGGTCTGGTTTTATTAGCAGGGCTGTAAATGAGCGTTCCACTCGCAGACGCTATCCCACTACTGCTCACCGCGGAGACTTTTGGCTGCTGGGTTTCCCCCCTGGCCCGATTCGCCTCTCCTTAGCTAACCTGGGCCCCATGGGCTACCCCGTGGGGTCCATATTGACGACAAGCTTAGCGCGGACGTCCGTTCTACGCAGACCGACCCGCCACAGTTGTCCCCACTTCAAATCATCCACGCAATCCGACCTCCAAAGCAGCTGGATTACAGGAGCACGCCACAACTCCCAGTCGTTCTAAAGAGTGAAAATTAAGTTATTTAAATACCACTATCACAAATAAAAAAACAAAATCTTAAAAGATTTAATATAATAATATAATATAATTTAACATTGAATAATCATTTTATGTAATCATAGAGACTGTGATAAAAAATTCTTTTTAATGATTTTGAAAAAAAGTTATATTCTTTAAAATGATAACTGAATGATAAAACTGATAAAATTTTATCGTGTACTTTGGGTATTTATTTTATTTTATTGCTAGTGACAGTTTAAATTATTGTAATAAAACGTCGTCATAAGTATTAATGCCCATGTGATTTATAAGACGCAATTGATTTATCAATTTGCGGATCTGATGTTTAAGTTGACATTACCTTGATTTGTAACTGCAATCAACAAAACGTTATGGTTATAATTCTTTTTTGATAAATTAGTTAAGAAGAACGCACAAAATCTATTTTTTTGTCAAAACTGACATGGATGAACGATCCGACTTAATTAAGATTTCCACTCAAAGTGGCATTAGTGACACATTCGATTGGACAATTAAACGGAACTTCAGTAACACTAATTCAGGTTTATTTGACAAAAAATAAATTCAATGTAATATATTAAGCATACTGCATCTTTGTTGATCTGACTCCTTGATATGTTTCCTCATTAATTTAACATTTATTATTTTCAATAACGATTGTGGTGTCTCAAATAACATCAATTTAGAAGCTAGCAGTCTCAAGTAGTCTTAAAACAGGATCAATATTTTTGTTACTTGGTTATTCATTTGATTGTAGAAGTTAAATGTTGATGGGAATTATCTAGATTATCCATATATCATCTCAAATATAACTTAAACATTCTAAAAATTATAATGTTATCTGAATGAATAATGGGAATTATTATGGTGCAAGTTAGATGGGTTTTAATGTTACAGTATGCTTTCTTAATGAATCATAGAAAATCGTACAAAATTTTAAATTAAATCTGGTCATATCCTAGATCCCATCTCTATGAAAAACCTTAAAATTAAAAACATTAGTTGTAAATTCATTGATTATTTTAATGTGAAACTTCATTTTAAAGTTTAATTGAGTAAACAATCAACCATTACAATAAATTTGAACATTATACAATGTTCTAATATTTTATATTTTATGAGTTATAAATATTATTGTTAAAATCTAAGATCTTTGTAATTACGAAATTATTGTAATATTTTTATTACCAAATTTAAAAATTAATTTCTTTTTTTTTTTTTATTAATTGATGATGTTAATTTATTGTAACTATTTTGTTTTTAGATCATGAATTATTACTAGACAATGAAGAAGAGTTTAGTCATCCTTACTCAGATGAATATGTATTTTTAGAAAGAAAAATGAGGAACCGTTTATCTTTTTTTTTTATGAATCCAATAGAAAAATGGAAAACAAGAAGACGTTTTCCATACAAGTTCTTAATTCAAATAATTAAAATTATTCTAGTCACTGTTCAAGTAATTTTATTCAATTAATTATTTATTTATTGTTGAATGGCTAAATACAGGAAAAGTTCGATATCTATTAAGATAATTTCTTTTTTTATTGTCTAAAAGTAGTAAGAATAATTTTATACAAAGTGATACACACAATATCCTTAAAAGTATAAATAATATTATATTTTTTGCATTTTAGAAGTTAATAGTATTTTATATTCAATCATTTTCAAAAATATTCTTTCTCTCTTTCTTTTAAAATAGTATCTACTTTAGTTTTTTTGATGAAATCATGTAGTTTAAGGTAGGACAAATTTTTAAAATTTTTATTATCAACTTCTATTATTTTTAAAAAGATAAATTATATATTTAAAAAAAGTTTTGATAGCTTAAGATAAATATATTAACATCTTTAGGTTCCTCATTAACTATGAATGTTTATCATAAGGAAATACATTCTCGAAATTTTATAAATTATACTTAATTTGTTGTAATTATTATTGAGACATGCAGAATCAATTATTTTTGAAATCTTATTACTTATATTATATTTAATGTTAAATCAGAATCGTACATTATATCATTGTATCAGTCAATTGAAAACCGTAAATTTGTATAATGATTTTATCAAACTGGTAAATTTTTAGATTATCTTTACTTAACATTTTTGTTACTGTTTTAATACAATTCCTATAATATGCCTAATAGTAAACATAGTTTAATTTTGGGTTATCATTTGATGATTATCAATATGTCTTTGTGTGACAAGTGTTTAACAAAACTAGAATGACATAATTTAGAAGTAAATACTATTGTAAAATTTTGACTTTTTAAATATAAAATTTAAAAGTGCTTTTTTTTTTGAAGATTTTAAGTGCTGAAAGTTCTGTACTCTGTTCAATGATTACTTATATTTATATTGTAAAATTTAGATAAGTTATATAAATTTAAACACTCATTTCATTATAAAAATAAAAATACAGTTATCTTTAATAATTCATTATTTAATTAATTTATTGTCTTTATAAAATTAGATAAGTAGACTTTTTCCCTTTCTATGTTTAGCAATTCAATTAGTATTTTAAGTTTATTAAAAAATGTTAACTTAATAATTTATTTTGATTGATCTTTCAGCTATCTTTATTTGCTCATACACGCTATAGTCATGTAAATTATACATGGGGAAACAGGATTACCTTTTCACATTTGTTCCTAAAAGATTGGGATGCAGCCCGAGAAATAGTTTCTTATCCACCAGCTCTTGGACCATACGCAATTTATAATACTGATAGTTTTTATTCCACTATAAATTATGCTATAGTTGGTGTAAGTAAACATTTAACTATTATTAGATTTCTTTTAATTTTTTTTTTTATATGCATTGAAAATGTTTACAGTATGCAAACATTGAAAATGCCATAGGATCATATTCATTTATGAGTGAAGATAACAAAATAGTGTATCCTATGCTATGTATTGTTCATTATAAAGAAGGTAAAATATTTGGATATAATGAAAGTTACGCGTTTGATGGCGAAGTTAAGCAAGGTACTATTTTAAAATACTAATGATTAAAAAAATATCCTATTTTTATTTTTATATTTTTTAGAGTGCCTAAATATTACTATAACAGATGATATGAAAACAAAAGGATTCTCAATCAAAGATTATTTAAAAAATAATAACATGACTCTTAACTTCTCATCTTTGTTAAAAGTGAAATTAAAGTTTTCTCTTAAAACAGTCAATTTTAGAGCTGCTGGAAAATTTTCTCCTCCTGATTGCTACAAATTTGAAATAGAGGTATTTCTGATTACAAAAATTATGCACAAATTCAGATATAAAGGGAGTTCTCTCTTGACCAAAATTATGTTAGACATCAATTTTAAGTTAATAATCAAATTATAAAATATTTTTGCAGATAACTTTGAACAACGAGGACATGGATGGACAAGTATTAGTTGGTTTAGATGTTAATCCTTTTAGATTAAATTGTAAAGGAGACATTGAATATATAAGTGAGATATATATGTTATATTAACACTTCGTAGTATATAAATAATTGTTTTTTGTAGATGAAATGTTGCTTTTTAATTTTAATGTTTATTTTTCAATTATCTTTAAAAGACTTACATTATTTTAAAAGGTAAAACATAACTTACAAAACCTTATTATCTTTTTTTTTTAAATATATTCTCTTTTAACCATTACATAAAGAATATATTCAAAATTCATATATATATATATATATAATTAATATAAAGTCATTTATTAATCTTT